TGCTGAAGCTCACCCTACCTAATGGCTGGCAGCTATGGCTGATCAGTAAGCTCATCCTGTTCTGCCTTTCCTCTTAGTCATTCAGATGTGTTACTTGCCAGTAGCCACATCATACACTACTCCTGGGATGAAAAAAGAATATCCAATAAACCAAACACAACACCAAACACTCCAACACATTGCTTAATGTGTTAATCTGATACAACATCTGATAATTTTTGAGTTCTAACCTCCTGCATCACTGCAGAAAGCATTTTTCCTACTTTGTAAATCACAAGAAATTTTTCTGCATGAATATTTGATATCACCTTAAAGAAAGTTTTATTTGTCTTCTGGAGAAACAATTCAAGGCACTCAAGATAGAGTTTTCTAGCAGTAGAAACAGACAAATCCGTAAGACTAAGAATGTCCAAACAATCCCTTTTTAAGAGTGGGCACTGCAGCACTGGTCAGAAAAGCAGCAGTCATTGTGATGCCTTTCTGAAAAACTTGTACCAAAAGCACTAAGATAGAGAAGGCTCTTCAGGAAACAAATTCATTGAAGCTTCCTCACCAACCACAATGCAGTTCAACTCCCTAATCTTCTAAGTACAAGCTTTTTACACATAAAAAGCTTTTTGTACATTTGAGAGAAAGGACTAGCCACTTTTCTCCCCCAGACTGTCTGTTGAAATAGCCGTTTCAGCTTGAACTGGATCAAATTTCAGCGACCATGTGTCAGTTTGAAAGGGCAACTTCTTGCACCGCTTTTTTGGTAAATGATTAAGAAACTACACGGCAGGGCACAATGCATGAGAACGTAAATCTGCCAGAGTGTATCCCATACTAGGGATAAGGCTTGTTAAGCATATTGCTTAACACCAGGCTTCAGCAGTAACCAATACTCAGTGTTTCAGAAAAACGCATATGGTTCCCAGAGCAGCAACAATCAGCATTTCTACAGTGTTCATCATTAGCAGATCTCCTAACATTACAAAGCAGGACAATAGGACTGTTATTTCAAGGCTGTAGAAACAAAGAAGCGTCAATGATTAAGCTCAGTACTTCATCTGGGAGAGCATGATGTGAGCTCTTTCTGCTCCTTCTTACCCCTGTCAGCCACATTCTACAGACACAGTGACAGACTTAAGAAGTGAGGCAGGGAGCAGGGAGGAGTGGCAAAGCTAATAAACTGCTCTGCACTAGTAAACTCTTCTCTGCGCTAAAGAAGGGCAAGCTCAGGGAAGGGGAAGTGGTGAAGCAGGTGAACAGAAGACTCACTGGGGCAAGCAGTCCTGGGCCCAGGAGGTTCTGCCTCCCATTTGCCTCCAGAAGGACCAAGAAACTCACTCCTCTTACTTGGCACATGGCCGGGGTGGTCAGACATGCTGAAAGCCCCCTTACAGGAAGAGTTCCAGAGCTTCCTTTAGAGCTGCTGGGCATCATTCAGAAAAGCTCTTGGAGACACGAGGCTTTGGTTTTTCCCTCGGAGAACGTGCCTTGCAGCCAGAAGGACAGGATGTCCTCTACTCCCCAGGGACAAAAAGCTGACCTTGCTGAGCCACTAGGTCCTGGCTCAAAGGAACTGACAGCATCAAACAGTACACTCATGCCATCTGCTGGCAACAACCGCAGCCAGACTGAGCCAGACAAGCTGTGCAAGGCCAGCCATGTCACCTTTTACTTGGAACAGTGACAAGCAGTACGTTCTGAAGTATCTGTTTCATGCCCCGGTACAAAAGCTATGTCATGTCCTGTAGGAGACAGTGGTTTAAGGAATATCCTTCAAGCTGAGGAAAGGTTTTCCTAACTGTGATTTAAATGTAATTTGCTAGCTCAATGATTAAATGACCAAGGCAGTGCATTCCAAGTTGTAAATCAAACTGAACACCTAAGAACCAGTGTAATTCTGCCTTGTAAACCTGATTTTACAGCGTACATACAAAACTTTGAGTCAGTTGCAGAAGTTTCAAACATGCCTAGCAAGCCATCAGTACCCACTACAATGTGAAGAGTACAAGTGCTCTCTAACCTGTTACAGGGTCATTTTCCAAAGACATTCGGCTGAAGGCAGGTGTGGCATTGGAGATATCAGACAGTGTGCGACGAGCAATAGCAACTGGTAGCGGCGGTTTGGGGATATCATAGCCATCATCTTCATTTTCTGAGTCTTCAGGGCCATTGCTGGCAGTGGCTGCTGCCAGATCCCCTTCATCTAGAACAAGAGGCACATTCTGAGCTCTGGGACTGAACAGAGCCTCGGTCTCTCAAGGCAGACTCTGTTCGCCTGTAGTCCACAAACATTGACAGGACACAGAACTAAGGTTTTGCTGCCAAAACCCCGCATTCAATGGAAGCTCTTTCCAGAAGGTAGTATTAGATTAAAAATACTAATGATAGATGTGGGCTGACAACTGCTACCCAGGGAAAAAAAAAAAAAAAAAATCTTCTAAACAGTGATTTTTTTTAACAACCACTGAGTATTTTTACAGTGCATTCTGTGCCATAGGCTTCTCAACTGGACTTCTCCACAACATCCCCACATGCAGTCTGCAGTACACAGACCCAGATGTTTCCACATACATCCTAGCTATTTTAACAGTGATAGCAAGTAACATTTAATTTAGCCTAAAACGCTGTTCTGACTGGGACAAATTCACTGTACTCCAGTTTCTCAGTTGTTTTTTTAGCAGACCCACTCACCAGAAGTGTTGACAGTCTCAAAAGCAGAGGATGCTGCTTGGGAGTGAATGTTGTACATTGCTTCATACATACAGCTATCAGTCTGCTGCTCGCAGTCTAAAACTCTGAGGGAGAGAAAACATATTTCCCTTCAGACAAGTGACAGTGATCAACCATCACCACCTAGTCTCTCTGAGATTATGCACAGATCCCTGCTTCAAAGTGAAATCACCACTGTTCTGTGAAAGAATATTTGCTCCAGAAAATACTCTAGTAATGTCTATTGCAATACAGCATATCAACTTAGAAGAGTTTAATTGATACGACCAGCACACAACCTTTTAATAGAATTTTGAATTTCAGTTGCTGCTGGTCTCAAAAGGTTACTGGCAGAAAGGGGGGGAGCTCTTATCTGACTCCTTTAATACTGTATAAGGATTCTGCAGAAAAGCAGTAATAACATTTCATTTACAGTTAGCTATGTTAGTCTAGATCTGGTGAATATCACTGGGGGAATTCAGCAAACAGAGCAAGCAACATCTCCACCCTAGTAAACAAACATTCTTTCCCAGAGCTGCAAGGAGGAAGCACACTACATACAAACAGAATCTCACCGTAAACTCTGGGTCATTTCCAAAGGCATTTTGATCTCTGTTTTTTGTACAGCAGGACCTGGAAGCACCACAGGCAGAGAGGATGGTGACATGTATTCCGTGTCTTCGTCACTTTCAGACTGTTCCCCAGGAGGCAGTTTTGGTACAGGCAGCGGTCTGGAGGCAGAAGAAACAAGATAACAAACATCAGAAAAACATTTACACCAAATCTAATTAATGTCAAAGTGGCCTTTAAAATACACAGCGGAAGTAGCAAGCAGTAATCTTATACTGACTCTGTATAAAGAAATAACCTGGCTTTCAGGGTTCTCAGCAGCCCAGCTGTAAGGTCACACTGGCACAAGGTCTTTATGCAAAAGGAAGTTGACAATATCACACACATTATACATCACCTACTTCACATAAAGACCAACTCAGAAGTGAATTCATAGAAGAGCTAATGGCAACTGTAGCCTGTTTCCTATTGCCATAGCCAAGGGTAACTACCACCACTATCCACAGATCTTTAGGATGTTGATTTCATCCACTTTCTCTAGATTGTGTATTTTGAATCTGTCAGAGATTGAAACTAAGGCTGACAGAGTTGTGTTAAATTCTGTCCCTGGTATCAGCATGTAGAGAGCGCCCTGTGATTACCATTCTGTAAGTTATAAAAGACTACTTTTGCTAGAGAACAACAGACCTGGCAGCTAAGGAGTAGATCGCATTGGCGGATGAAGAGGGTTTAATTTTGGGGTGTTCACACTCTGAGGTCGTTGTTGGACCACTGTTCAAGCTCTGAAAGAAAAAATTCCAAACCAGGAATCAGAAATACCACATATATCAGTGCAGTTGCAAAGCTGTCAGCCAATCATTCAACATATCCTCTGCGGGAATGACGCATCTTCATTTATTTCAAAGCATTTACTGCCACCTTAGAAATCCAGTAATTCTGTGACAGTTTTCCCACAGTGAGGGCACAAGCAGGGTTTTTCTCCTGTAGCCAACTGCTTGCTTACACAAAACCTGTAGGAACTTTATAACTTTTGAGACTCCAATGACTTTGCAAATCCAGCTGAAATAGGCCAAAAGGCCAAAACGGGGGACAAGAGGAAAAGGATGCAGACAAGCACACACATACAGAGACAGAATGACAACGGTGCAAGTGCCATTTTCTTAGACAGTCTGGCTAAAAATGTACTTGCTTTCAATTTTTAAAAAGCTAGAGGTTCTAAAAGGAAAAATTAGGGCAATGGAATCAAAGAAAGCAAAACTGTCTGGGATTTCTTTTAGAGAAAAATATGTTGGCCTGCTAAGTTACACATCATGACATTGGTAATAGTAACAAGACCCAAATTTAACACAGATTTTACTGTGTTAAATTATAGCTACTGTGTGTATGTTTTTGAGGACTGAAAATTGAAAAGAGTAAATTACACTTTTTCAGTATACCAGGTCCCAATACAAAACATTCTCAGTTTTTCAAAATTGAAAGGTGAACAATCATTATGAAATTGTGGCTCAGGATTGCTCAAACTGTGATGTCAGCCTTGCTCCCAAGAGGCACAAAAGCACTTCCCTAAGAAGTCCTCCCATTATTCTCCCTTACTGGGCATTCACCTGTTCCCTTCCGTCTTTCCCTTGGCACAAGATCACCCTATATAGATGTAAAACTATGAGAAGAGGGCACCTTGGAAGACTTAATTCCTCACATATGACCTTCACCTCCAATAGGCCTACCCACCGCTGGGTTGTCCAGGCTGAGCGTGCTCCCAAGCCGATGGCTGTCAGCCCTGGAGTCCATCTGAGAGGGCAAGGAAAAGGGAAGTGAGTGCCTGTTGGACAGTTCTCTCCCAGCCCAAGGGTCACCAGGGCTGAGAGCTACAGATGGGGCTTTTGGAATTGGCCTGGATGGCCACAGATCCGCCTGCCGGTTGGAGGGCACAGGGGGTGGTTTGTCTCTCGAAGTACAGTCTCCTGGCGTGCAGGGCAGAGGACGTCTCTGAGGTCGACCTTCGGTCCCAATGGAATGTGGCCTGTCTGGAGGTGGTGGCGGTGGGAGATCTCTGAGTGTGGGTGGGATTGGCAAAGGTTTATCCTTGTGAAGAGTACCAGGTGCAGCCTGGAAGGTGGAAGAATGTAAAATATTGATTAACAAAGGCAGTCTAGCCACAAAACGTAAAAAGGAAGGAGAACAGTGGCAGAAGGGAGAGTATTGGTTTTCCTTTTATCTATTTTTACAAGAAATTATCTCAAAGGATGTGGAGATAACTCTCCACATCTCCACAAGTTAACCCTCCAGAGACACCTTCTCTACAGGATTGAAGAGGTAACACAGTAACTACATGCAGCTACAGCTAGGCACTAAAACACACCAGAAGAAGAAAAGAGCTGCTGCTTCTTGAAGAAGAAAAAAGAGCTTACACAGTAGCATTAGACTGGACTCCAAACACAGGTCATTTAAAAAAATTACTCAATTGTGGGTTATTTATAAAAATTAACATTCAGTCAGCAATGAATATTCATAGAAATTGGTATTTCCTTCTGCCTGAACTTTCAAGTACCCAGGGATTACTCCATCCAAACCAGCTGAAGAACCGCTGCCTATCTCAACAACCAACGACCAAATGCCACCAAGATCACACTACTGCCTTCTGCTAGAAAACCAGCTTATGTCTTCCAGTCACACATTTAATTCCTTCCTTAGTTTTCTATCCAAAAAAAAGCTTGATGGAAAAATTTGTGAAGAAAAGAAAATTTGTGTCAGGAACATGACACCTTCCTACATATTGCCTGCTAGCAAAACACAAGCCCATAAACGTGGCTCCAAAGGGCATAGGCAGTAGTGGCTGAGGCTGAAAACCAGTGAAGTTACTGGTAATATCAATAACTTGGTAGCTGAAGGACACCAGTCACCCTAAGTGAGCAAGTACTTCAGCTGAGGACCAGCTTCTTTCTAGCAACTGCATGGATGAATGTGAAGAAAAAAAAAAAAAAAAAAAAAAAGACAGGCCCTTTAAACAGCAAAAAGGGACTCTCCTACCATGGATTCCAGAAGGAAGCATTTGCTTTCAGGACAGACTAGGCCTTTGTGGGGAATGGACAGAAAGTGGCCTAACAGGAAAGGAAGAAGAAAAAGTCTGTTGTGAAAGTACTTAAGAGATATCACATTTACAGTTCACCAGAATGCTCTTCTTCCTGCCTGCCTCACCAAAGTCATAGCTGAAAGGGCAAATAGTGTGTCTGACCTTTGAAGTGGTCCCAGGACTGGAAGCCCCAGGTGGATTGGACACTCGCTGTTGCAAAAGATCCAGTCGCGGTGGCACGGGAGGCAGGATGGCCTGTGGAGCTACTGAGAATGGAGAAGGAGGACGCTCGACCTGAAAAGAAAGGGAACATCAACATGTGGACGTGGCACTTCAGGACATGGTTTAGTGGGCCTGGTGGTGTTGGGTTGATGGTTGGACTTGATGATCTTGAAGGTCTTTTCCAACCTTGATGATTCTGTGATTCTGTGATCAACAAATGACAAAATCCAGCAGAACGTCTCTTCTCTGCAGAGGTTTTCAAGCTCTGTGCCTTGTACTGGCTTCAATATCGCTATTGGTAACAAATTACTATATTAGCAACAACCATACAACAGTAACCAGAGGCAGCTTTCAGCACAACAGCATTTGACTTACAGCAAGCCTTGAAGATCATCGATGGGCTTAGCTGTGGCACACAACTGAAAATGCACACTTAGCAATAGCACAATAAAAGACAAGCTGTTTTCCTGGAGTAACAAACCTGCCTTACTGGGCCCTGAGCAGAAGCACGCTGCTTTTCTTTTCGACACAAGAGGGCATGATCTGCTGCAAAACCTCTTTACCACTGCAGGCAGTGCTGTGCAAACTACCTTGACTACAGTGTCACAGCTGTTGCAGCAATCACTGGCGTGCACCAAAACCTCCATTTTTGTCCCTGGAAAGCTGTTTTTCCACTTAAGAAATCAGAACAGTGCCTGTTCTTCTCTTTTTCATAAAGTTTTTTTAACAAGCAAGGCTACTGCTTTCTAACTTTGAAAAGCTTTACACAGGTTTGAACTCACTAATGCCAACAATTACAGAGTACTAGCCTATTGCAAACCATGACTTGATGTCACACTGAGGAAATTGCTTTGCTTCCCCCCAAGCTATGTATATTAAAAACTACCTCCAGGAATAAGTTTTACTGTTTAGTACACTATTTCACAGGGTGGAAGCTAAAGAGAGATATGACCATAGGTAAACCAGTGTAGAGGATGCCTTTCACTTAGTGAATTCAGCTATGAAATACAAGCCAAATTCAAATGCACTTCCCTGTGCAGTAAAACAATGCTAAATGCAGATATGCAAGAGCAGCAATGAACTTTTAGAAAAAAAAAAACCCATGCAGAGATCCAGAAAGAATGCCTGTCTTGTACACATCTCCTGGCAGGAAACAGCACTAATGGCAGAGAGTTATCATACCTTTATTATACAAATTTATCAGACATGATATAAAAAAATGACAGTCAAACTGACTCCCTCAGCAAAATAGCCTGCCCTCTACCCAGTTAGTCATCAGGACCTTGCGAAGACTGTATCTGGTTGGCTGTATTCATCACTGGGAAAATGGATGAATTTTTGCTGATATGGGTGAACTACGGCTAATAAATCAAACGCAGCATTGCTAAGCATGCAGAAAAGTGTTATAAACCTAGATCTTACATTCCAATAGGTCAAGCCAGCCTTTTCAACCTTCTAAGGATTCTTTCAAGACAACCCATGGAAGATTTCAAAATGTGATCACCATTGCTTAACAGAACTGACAGTGTAAACTGAACTGACAAAACTGAACCTAAATCCCCATTTTCCATACTGATTAAAATCTTTCCTCTTACAAGGTCTGACAACCCTCACATGCACAAATCACTCAGACCACAGAAAACTGATGGAGAATATGCAGTCTTTGTACATACTGCCACATCTACTAGCACACGCTCTGGTGACCTTACTTTTGTACAAGCGAGTTCTTTCATCATGAAGAGGGAATCATCAGCTCTGTCATCATCATCATCGTCATAATTGGGTGAGGGAGTTCCTTCTGCCCCTTGCCGTGATAATCCTCCTCCTCCTCTGGGGTCGAATGGGTCTACTACAATTGGCTCTGTGCCTTTGATTTCACAGCGGCAAAAAGGACAACCCTGGCCTTCTGATTCCTTCAGGGAAGAGAAGAGACCTGTTACAACAGCCACTATGATGCAGAAATTATAAACACATAGTTAATATAGAAAGAAGTTTAAACCTGCTTTTTGGCAGGTACCTTTCAACTGAGAGGAAGATAGAGAGGCAAATTGTACTACAATTATGGGGAGTATTTTCCCCCTGAAGTAGAAAAAAAAGCTTTTTAGCAAGTCCTCGCACTTCTTGCGTATTCCTGGATTAAGAGATCAGGCAACTAACCAGCTTCTCCTTATGCTGGTGAAGATGGCACTGATGCACTGATATAGAGCTTACACTATCTTACCTCCATACCTGAAGGAAACTGGATGGTTTTGAGAAGAGAATATACAGTTTCTGTAAAAAAGCAACTAGCTTCATTGAGAGAGATTAACAAGAGGCAATGCCTCACCTGCCACGCAGTGAGACAGGACGTGCACATCAGATGGCCACATGGTTCAATCTTCACATCCTTGTCATTTTCAGCACATATTTTACACAGTTGAAATGTGGAGCCCATCTCACAATACAATTCATATTGTTCCTTGGGGAAAGACAGACAGACATGGTTGATACTGTAAAATAACAAGCATGATTAGTCACAGCTACAAGAAACCCAACATAAGATTTGCAGGAAAAAACAAATTCCACACACAACAACACAGTGCAAAGAACCACAGAAGTCTGCAAAGATTTCACTATAATTTTATGTATTAAATACATCTGTCAAGTGCTGAAAAAAGTTGGCTTGAAGTTATTCCAGATTTTCATTTAGGTGTCCCAAGAACAGCCTAGGAAAGCAAGGCTCAAGACATGCCTGATGGCACAGAAGAATGAATATTTGGCAAAGGCTAGAAATTAGGCTAGCAGAGGCTAGAAATTAGGAAGAAGGCAAGCAAGTTTGATGGGATAGAATACTTTGCTCACCTGTGTAACTTTAATGTGGTCCTGAGGTGTGGGCTCACACAAGCCAGTCAAGTCAGGATTCTGATTCCGGCCATCGGGAAATAAATAACTGTAGGCAGTTGGGGAAAAAAAAAACCACAACTCTCTCTCTATATGTGCATATACACACACCCATATATACACGCACACATGAACACACATATAAGGTTTCTTCGGGGGATAGTGGAGGAAAGAAAGAATGAGGGTGAGAAGCAAGGAGTGGGAATTTAAGGTATTCTGAATTCAAAATAAGTTTTGGAAGAATTTTACTATCGGACAAAAACCAAACACACCACTCTTAAAAATAAAAAGAAACTTGTCTTCCTTCCTGGCAGCAATTTTTATTTTAAACAGGACGTTATGGTCCCAGACTACGCTTAAATCATCCTATAGTGAACCTCTAATATTCAGAGTAAGAAAATGGATATCATAATATCAGTTGCAGTGGCTTAAATTAAGGACTCAAATGGAAAAGAATCTATGACAAAGGAAACACAGGTGCACACTTATCATCTGCTATTGTGAAGCGCAGTACAGCTCTCTGGTGCAAAAGATAGCCGACAGTATTCTCAAGTTAAGTATATGAATTATTCTACTGACATCAAGGGGACTATTCACATGATTACACTGTTTTGCTGAATCAAGGTCTAAATATAAAGGAAGAGCTGAGGGATGTCCAAAAGGGGCTCAGTGATGTCAATAGTGATTGCTTGACTTCTGCAACATGCTGCCTCTCCTGTGAAGCAGATAATGTGTGATGAACCCAGAGGGTACGTTTTACTATTCAACTGACTTTAAGACCTCACCGCAGGATTAAGATTTACAAAACAAACTCACAGTGAAAAGGGGCAAAAAACTTTATTTTGATAAAGCTACTTACAAGCCTTCCCTGAAGCCATCAATCAGTGCTTGAAAAAGAGGTTTGTTGTGGGGGATTGTCTGAAGAATGTTCCCATCTGCAGTGACATAGCCAATGGCCCACTGACCGAGTCGTGTACAACTCAATCGGAAAATATAACTAAAAACACACAAAGGAAAAGAAACTTCAGTTTGCTCTGGAACAGACAGAAAAGATTAAATGTCAAGTAGGCAGCTTTTCTCTGTCTATCTCAAGACAGCAAATAAAAACTAGTAGGAAAAACTTGATGATTTATACCAGGTTTCCTCAATTTACCCCCAGGCAGATCAAAAGAGAACCTTGCAATCTGATACGAAGTGAGAAAAGCATCCAAGCACTGGCCTCCAGGTGAAAAAAAACCCAGAATCCAAAGCAAGAAAAGTTAGCATCCTTAAAATAATTTGTTTCAAGCTAACTTTAAAAAAAAACCCAACAAAGAGACTACACAAGTTTTCCATTTTTAAAACCAGTACAGAATTAACAGTATAGTAACAACCTCCAGAAATGAACACTTGGCCATTCCTGCGTAAAGAAAAATCTGTTAGCCCTGTATTGGGCCAAGTTCTACCCAGGACATTAGGTAGCCTGAAACTGCTCAGGTCCACAGCCCCTGCAGAAGCATGTGTTGCCCCCCACGCTCTCTGAAGTCCACCCAGCCTGCAGCATTACCTCACAGCCTACTCTGCCTCCTATGCTGCTTTCTGCCAGTACAAACACCGGTCAGCTGTCTTGTCTGTCTGAAGTTTGCTTCAAACATACACACTGCTTCTGGGGGCTGCAATCCGCTCAGCTCTACTGATTTTATGCAGTTTTTACCAGAACATTATGGGGCCTATAGATATATTCTCTTATTCACGGTCCTAAACAGCCCGCTGTTTAGGCTCACTGTCAGCATCTGTCTCTGCGTTCTGCTTATGCCTGAGGGAGCTGTTGTGACAACTGTGGGGATGGGCACGAGGTAAGTCACCACATGAAGGATAATTTCCAAATACAGGGTGAGCTAGGGTTTTTCACAGTTTAAATTTCTGAGGAAGGACGACGAAGACAAAATAAACCAAATCTCCTCAGTCAGCGCAGTAGTCAGCAATGTTAGCAAGAACAATCAAAAAAGCCGCTGCTGCCAAAGCACTAACCTGCCAGGTTTGTGAATGAATTTCTGAAGCCGGGCTTTCACCTCATCATACGTTAGGAATGCCATATAACCAGGATGAGTCACCGCTAGGCTATTCCAGTTCCTGAGCAAAGAGGACCATGGCTATAGAAACAACAAAGAAATATATTAACCATGCACTTCTAAGAGGTATCAACACATACAATATTCCTCAATCAAAGGTATCAGTTCTTCAGTTAAAGCAGTAGGCTTCTTATCCCACCATAAATCCAGTAGAGCAACTAAACCCTACATTCTCATGCACCAGCCTTAGCACTTGAGTTTCTCTCTTGTCGGTGATAAAAACATCACCTAAGATAGACCTTGATCAAAACTCCTTTAATAAATGCCAAGGGAGAAGTCACTGAGGTCACAAAAACGACAGCTCAAGAGTGGCTATCAATTTGTGCTGCTTCTGCCACAAAAATGACTCATTCCTGAAACAGGGATAAAGACAGGAGTTTAATAAGATTATGCACAGGACCAGAAACCATGACTAGTCTGATCGCTAACACCGACTTCTTATACGGCCTCAGGAAAGTGACTTCCCCTTCTCTGTCTCAGTTTCACTGTGTGTAAGATGCTTGTGACTATTAACCACCTAACCTCACTTGGGTGTGGCAAGGATTACTGGCTAGTCTAAGATTTGAATAAATAAACCAGCATATACATGTTAAATATTCCTTAAAATGATGTACAAAAAGTCATAAGAGTCTGAAAGCTCTCAATCCTGAGAACGGCTTGGGTGTCTAAGTCTCATCCCATTTTTCCAAATTTCTCAACTTGTCTAAAAGAAGATAGTAACTCTCCCTAAGAACTTTTCATCTCTTGGAAATTGAAGCAATTCTTAACTTGCTGTTTATGTACTGTAGTGGGAAAAAGTACTGAATGAGATCAGCTACATTGCAACACCGAACATTGGAATTGTTCATCTAGACATATCTTAATTACAACCCACCCTATCACACAGGAAAAGGCAAGTCAGAGCCAAAGAAGTAAGTGTTCTTTTAAATACCCAATTGCACCATCAGAAGCTGTGTTTTTGAGTTTAGCACTATTAAAGACTGTGGGTTAGATATGACCTACTATTAACATCACTTCAGTAATATAGATATTTCTCATGCTCAGAACACAGACATGTCCACAACATCCTGGCTGTGTCAGTTCAAAAGGTAGGAAGCCCAAATTTCCATGTTTGTGCTACATCCTGAACAAACCCCATGGAAAATAAATCTGACAAGAAAGGACAAGAAAAGACAGACTGATAAACTAAGCTTCACATTTCCTGGCTTACAGAAGTTGTGTCAGAACTTCAGTCTGAAAGTGGCTTTTGAAAAGGAAAAACTGATTCATGGGAGGATACTGAATGTGTCTTACATTTGCAGTTTGTATTTAGACAATTTTTTCTTCTACAACCACAAGTATCGCACCCTGTTACTGCAATATAGGGTCCTAAATATTACTAGAGCTGTTTAGGGATGAAGGGCACGATGACCAAATCCCTTACAGCATAAATAATGTAATTTTAGTGTGTAAAATACAGTTTGTCCTGGGAAGAGAGTCTAACCTGAAGCACTGAGACACATTTCAAGTGATTCACATTCCTCAGTTCTTACCTGAAAAAGTCGTGTGAAGATATCAAATTCAAATACTGAAATGTAGTCATTGCACGTCAAGTCAATCGTTGACTTCAAGGCCATGGCTTCCAGCCCTGAACTGATTGGATGTACTTCATGCAAGGCCTGACGGAAGCTTTTCCAAGGTACAATAGTCCTGGGGAAAACCAAGCCATCCGTAAATGTGATATGTCTGAAGACCACATCTTATACATTTTTTTGGTGAGTATGCACGTCATGATAAAAGAAGAGAGGAAAATCAAAAGTAGCCACAAGAGATTTATTCATGTTATGCAAGCACAAGGTTTCTTGGTACTGCAGGAAATTATCAGTGAAATGAACTTTAGACAATTTTCTCTACATATGCAAAATTTTGGAATCTGAAGTCCAGTTGTGCCCTCTCCTTTCTCTTTTTCTGCAGTCCTATCATAACAACGCTTGTATGTACCCCAGGCTGTATACAACACCATCACTTGATACGAATTTTGTAATGTTGCAGCTGGTAAAAAAGCAGTTAACAGTGTGAGTCTTTTAGTAGAGGTCTAGCCAGTTAAAACAAAAAAATTAAAAAGCTGCAAACAATACTCTAAAGAGGTATTAAATGGAGAAGTAAGATAATCAGAAGCCAAAACAGAGGTTCCTGTTTAAAGGAATATTTTCCTTCTTTTAAAATATCAAGTGGAATAGAAACACAGAAAGAACATGCCTAGTTTCAGACAACCGTGTTATTCATGAGTAAATGTATTATTGTTTTTTGTTCTGACAGCTTCTAATTAAACTCTTTATGTGAAGTATCTTCGTTACCTTAGTTAGAAAGCAGTACCCAATTCTATTAACTTTAAGCATCAAACATTGCTGTGGACACCTCTACAGTTCATTTAGTCAGCATTTTGTTAGATACAAAAATTAAAACTGACGTTTCAACAGTTTCCACGCAACTATACATTGCGCTTCACTTTCTCCTTCATTCTACCTTAACAAAGCCATTACGCAAACTGACAAAAGTTCAGAGAAGCCAGAAGACACGTGACAAAGTGATTGGAAAGACTAATTGGAGGGAAGATGAAAAAGAATTTAACATAATGACTTTGCTAAAGGACAACTAATACAGGGGCATGGTAACCTTTGGAAGAAGAAAGCAGATTATTTTGCATAGTTTGTGGAGTTTACTTACAAGTTAAGAAATTAAACTACGGAGAGGAAAATTTAAGCTGAATAATCGAGGGAAACTCTGCGACAGTACAAGAGTCTCCTAGGGAAAGTGGGGAAAGACCCATCACTTGACACATTTAAAACAAGGCAGGACAAAGACCTGGGAAATAAAACTTAGGAATAATCCTGTATCCCACCCCAGAGAGTGGACTAAATGACTAGTAGGTCTCTCCCATCATGTGATTAACCTGACAGAGTCCTTTTGGAACTGCAAAACAGAATTTTTAAAAATACACAGTGCTGTATGCCATTTATTCCCATATGTCTATTTTTAAGCACAGTTAGAAACTTACTTTTCACCAAAAGCCTTTCTCCAAAATTCTGCAGCATCTGCCTTGGTGATCCGGAACGTGTCTCCCTGGAAAAGTCCACTTGGGAAAATGCCTTTGAGTTCTGCCAGCATATGGCTGAATATCAGCGATAACTTTGTCAGGTTACGCCTACAGAGGACCACAAAAACAAGTGTTTCTTTTAGAAAAGACTGACGTGGTGTAGCACTCTGAACAAAACAGAAGTAGTACCTATTGCAATTCAAGAAGCATCCCAGCCTAGAAAACTCCTCTTATTTGGGACAGCCTTTCAAGTATTTACCCAGCATTCAGAACACATCCATCACATGGTACTTATCAACAAGGTCTGTGTTTGTCAAGACATTTTCCACAATGACTAGCTTGCATAACCTCTTTGAGGTGAGCAGGTTATTTCCAAGGCACTCCCTCCAAGGAAATACATTCACAGAACATGTCCAAAACCAATATTGAGACCTGACATATTAAGTAACAGCATAATCAGAGCCAAAACCTGATGGTTTTGCTCGACTCCTTTGATTGATCGTTTTCTGACCGACTCCTTTGCTCTTGCGTCTCAAAATTCCTTACGAAAGCACATAAAACTACTACTGCCTTGGGTCATGTGAGCTGCATGTCTTTCCAAGTCTCCAGAGGGTCCCAACAGAGTAGATTTGCTCAGAGAACGTCTTAACCAATAACAGGTCCAGCTCCCAAGGGAAAGTCAAAACACCTGCAGTTTTTTTTTCTAAAATGGTAGTAACTTAAACATACAGAAGCTTGATGGTCAGGGCGCTCAACCATATTGCGTTTAGTAATTATTCAATTTGAATTACAAGTTGGTACCCCAAATCCCTTCTCTGCCTGATGACATTCATACATCAGGAGTGATCTAGCGCATCAGGGTATGCTCTTTTCTAAACTGGAAAGGGAAAGTGGGAGAAGGTAAGAAATATTGTCTGCTTCACATTTAGTCAACGTGCAAAAGATTTCCAGAAATAGAAGACAGGAGGACTACTGCCTAGCAGAGAGGACACTGCAGCATTTTTGGTTACATGCTTCACAAGAAACTAGCATTGGATTGGCATCAAATTCTAGCAGTACATACTGCAGCCCAGAACTGCTTCTTCCCTGCGACTATGTTAAGGAGGTAAGCTCTGTGTTGTAACTGTGCTATGCAGAAATAGAGCTAGCTTGGGTACTTCAAAACATCAATGCCTGTAGCAGTAGAGGAATACCAAAATAAGTCTTCCTACTTAGGCGTCAAACAATAGCATTATTACACACTAGAGAGGTTGTCTTCTACTCGTAGATGGGGGGTGGGGGTGGGGAATCTATTCACTAGTGGCACCTCATTCCTTTAGCCACAGAAAGGATGACTCTCTTCTCCTCCACTCCATTACATTCTCTAGATGCTAGGAAAACGGGAGTTTCTGAAAAGAGACAGAGGCTTTTTTTTCACCATCACATCACATGCTTGAAGGTAAAAGAAGGAACTAGTATCATGTGGGAAAGGACAACTTCTAAGTTATGTCAACAGACCAGAGCTCATCAGAAGGCTGCATCAACCACTGAGGTTATCACCTAGGCATTGTACAGACTCAGTTATGATACTGAACAACATGTATTTTGCAGACTGCAAAATACTGAACCATTTAGAGAGTGGGTAGAAGCATCCCCAGTCACATAGTATTTTCTTAATGCCTTGTTTTCCAAGCTCTCTCGTATGCTACTATTGTAGTGTGTCATCTCCCTGAAGACAGCTGTGTTTGGCATCAAACTAATCTCCCCCCCAGTTTCAGTCCTTCACCAATTTCTAGTATTCTAGTTGTATTGATTCCAATTTACTTAATCTTGGACATTTTTCAGATACCACTTGCTTCAGACATGTTCCTAGTTGAAGTACCTATCCTGTCAATCTGCCTGGTTACAGAATTGCCTCCAGCCTTTCTGCAAAAATTTCCCTATACATTTGGGCTTAGGTCTTCTAGCTCCATGTTATACTTTCACAGAGTTTAAAATCAATTGGAAATTACCTACTTTGCGTGACATATATTCTACCATTTACTGAGCTGCACATGAGCCCTTTCTTCATGCTATGGTACAGTCTGGGTAGATGAGAAAGTATACAGGACTCAAAACTATAAATCTTCTTTGATGGCAGACCTCCTCTCTTACAAATTAAAATGTAGTTGAATAAATAAGGGTGTCTCAGCAATGAAAGCTGCTAAAACTGTTTAGACAAGGTGCCAGCTATACACCAAGGGATTCTGTTTTTTGTTATCGGACATGTATGATATGACAATAGGTGTTCAATAAAACATTACTTATGTAAAACCACCCAGATGCTCTTCTGTAGTCTGCTCCATTCAGCAGCTCTCTACTGGGTGCGTTACACACTTAAAACAGCTATACAATTTGGTGGTTTGATTCTATAAACACAGACTGAAAAGCTTTGCTGTTCACCACTCTTTGCCAGTTAACTAGCCTCCAGAGAGAGGGGCTGTCAAAGTCTCCTTGTCTTATCAGTGTATCATGATTTCCAATCATCTTGCTTTTGCAGTTTTGTAATACCTTTAGAATGCTACTGTAATTCCTCACTTTCCACACTTAGGAAGGTTTATTCAGCATGTCTTAAAAAAACCTGTACAGGATCCTGTGTGAGGAAAAACTAAGTTGTATCATAACAGCAAAGCGATCACAATGATATTTATGAAGATCAGTGGCTGAGGACCTAGATCTATGAATACACAAAGAAGCTGCAGCAGTACAAAACCATGGTGTTACTGTATCAGTAGTATCTGTTTGTGCATCTCCCCATCCTAGTGTAACGTTAAGTAATTCAAAGTTGTGTATTCCTCTTTCCAGTAGGAGAAAAGCAACTTTGCATTTACCAGGTGAACGCTCAGATTCTGAGGCACAGGCACTGGCTAATCCTACAGAGAAAATGATGTAACTAAAGTCACACTCCAGCTCCCTTCCTCCTTCCAGAGGGTAGGCTCCCACCTTGTCCCTGCAATGCCTTTGGCTGACAAACTCTAGAAAACTGCAAATCAGAGGTTCTAGCTATGGAGCTTATTCCCCAAGCTGCCTTCTGAAAGTTCTCACTTCCATAAAGTGACAGAAAAAGATGACAGTTTATGGCTGTGCAAGGTAAGAAAGCAAACTACAACTCAAGCAAAAAAGACACAGCATTTGTTTTTACTAAGTTTATAAAAATGGAGGCTTGAGCTAAAACTGCTAATTTTATTTTACTAACATGGAAGTAATTGGCAAGAATTAAATTCTGAATCATTTCCTTGAAGGGTTAGCGTGCAATATTTGTGTGCAATCTTAGCAGGTAAAGTGGCATCTCACAGCAATGTATTAATGCCAGGTGACTTCCACAAAGTTAGCAATGCTAAAGGTGTTCAGGTATATGGCACAAGCTAGCACTGACTTGCTAGCACTCTTAACATTTGAAAAAATCATGTCCTATTGGTGAAAGAGTTCCAAGTATGCTTGAAATGAATGTATACAATAGTTGGTAGACAGAAGGAAAGTCATTTCAGGCATATACCCGCCTACTGCTGCCCAGCACAGTGTGAGAATTTGTGTATGAGGAGGCAAGTGCACTAATGCACTTCTGACCCTCAAACATGAAGCTAAGTGAACAAGTGGTTTAAACAAAGCAACAGTTAACACTGCAAGACGACAAAGGTGCATTCCTGTGTCCAGTTGCTTATCACTTCTGCCTAACAGCCTTCTCCCTTAGCTGTTTCACAAAGTGCTTGCACCCAGCTGAGCACATAATTTCAGTGAGAGAAGAACTTCTGCAGGCTTAAGGATGGATAAACAAATGATTTTACGCACACATACATTCAGGGACTCCGTTTCCAAAAAAGTTTCTAATACCTGAAAAATGTTCAATTCTTAAGATCAACATCATTTTTTTTTTTTACAAATATCCAGCTGTATTTTAGGTAAATAACAGGAAAAACACAGGAAGTGAACAAAGAGCAGCAAATTGCAGAATATTTTATGTTAGTAACCAGCTTTTACATTCAGCAACTAGTTACCAATCCTGTGCTAAAAGGACATTTTCTTTCAAGAGTGCACTCCTTTATTTTAACAAGCCAAGTTACACATTTGTAAATTAATACAGACCAAATAAATGTTTGCCATTATAACAAATGTTTTTATTGGTATATCAAAGTTTAGTCATTATGATTGTATTTTATTTTCAGTACCATCAGCAACTGTCCTCATCTCCATTGCCTCAACTAAACAGAAACAAGAGTTCTCCCAGAAAAAGAGTAATATTTTCAAAGAACACTTAAGTGACTTCGACCAGAGATTCCCAAACATTTCTGGCAACAGACCTCTAGTAATCTTCCATGTTTCTTACAAATTATGATGGCCCTCTTTCAAACTTTAACGAAACATAGTAATGAAGGCAAATACAGTTACCAAAAGTTGCACCAGAGGTATGCAAACCACAGTTCGGGAACCACTGACTTAAGCACCTAAATTCCATTGACAGTCGATGGAATTTAAACACGTCATACAAGCACTTTCAAAAACGTTATTCAGGGACCACAGGCCACATCAGTTGGCTCTCCTTACTGTTGGCAACTGAGCTGAAGGCAACACCTGTACCAGCTTCAAACGAAAATCTACAGCATGTTTTGGTTCAGCGGTTAGGTCCAGATCCAGAGCAACAGCTAGGTTTAGGTAGGATTTCACGTTCTGCGAGTGCTTTCACACATATATGTGTGAAGTATTCAGCTTATTATTGTTAGTGAATCAATGACATACGTAAAAAGTGAAAGCTTAGACAGCCAAGTATTTTTCCGCTCTATATGGTAACCAAATACTTCACTCAGAAACATCTGCAGTTCCAGCGTGAAAGCATTACTCCTTCCATACACACAATGTTATTAACAGAGAACCATTTCTTTAACAACCCAGAAACATCACCAGAACCTCCAATTACACTTGCCTGTAAAATTGCACTACCTTGACACTGACAGGGCTTTAAAATGCAGCTCTCAAGCAACCGTTTTGGGGAAGAAAAACCAGGATGAAGCAAAACTGTTTCTTCAGTTGCCCAGTGCTCATTAATCAGCTGGCTCCCCAAGGCTGGGCCAGGCCCGCCGGCAGCTCTGCAAGCT